TTTTCGTTCGAATAATCTCTTTCTCTTTTCTTTATAATACCCTTAACAATTGGCTTATAATTAAGAATGAAGGCTCGTCATCTTCTTACCTTATTCATAGTCTGTTGCATCCCACTCGTTCTATCAGATGATTCTTGCGATTTATGTCGTAAGGATCTATACAAAGTTAACAGTGTAAGTTTTTTCGGTTCTATACTATATTTTTTTTTGTTCAGGCTCTTCAAGTCTTCGTGTCAGTAGCTAAACCAGTCATGATAGCTCTATGTGAATTGGATAAGAATAAAGAAAGCCAGTGTCTTTCGCTAGCGATATCTGCCGTGAAATTGATAGAAGAAGTTGTAGAAGGCATATTTCCAACTTACAATTCTAAAAGTACTCCACTTTTATGCTCTCTATTCAAACCATCTTGCGGGAAAAAGTAAAATAGTTTAATATATTGAATCGATAATTTACTTTTAGTAGTTTTAATGGTAATGTTAGCTTTTGCTCAAGATGCGTACTCATCGCCGAACTAGGACAGAAGGTAAGACTAAAGACAATATTAAACATTCAAATATTCAAACTGCGAAATCGCTGCCGTTCCATTCGGATAGTAGAGACATATGGGATGAGTTAGAATCAGAAAGCTAGGGCTTACTGACACCCAGGCCGACCCTATATAAGGCCTCATAAACCAGAGTCGGGGAGACTCTTCATCTGTCATCTATCCCTCTCATCCTATCTTTGAGGACAAGATGTTGTCCAATGTAGAGTTCTCCTGGAGGAATCTCATCATTGAGACCTCTATCCTTAACATCTTATATTTATCAGTATTACTCTATGTGTTGATCATGTGTCCTTTGTAGTTGATACCTTGAACTCATTGCTATGTTTGAACCATGTATACTTAATATATTCTTATAATGAACATTCATATACACACACTGTTCTAAGTTACATTCCATTCCTCACCTACCGCTACACATAGTCGGTTGACAACCCGACGGTGAGGAGTAACACCGCTCCTAAGATGGAAGGGAAGAAACTTTAATAGAACGTGGAGGTTCCGTGATGGTCCTTTCTACACCTTTCACAATTAAACTCACAAGTGTGGTTATCCGCTCATTGGCGTCTTCCAGACATTTAGGAACATTTATTAGCATTCGTAGTATTATTATCATTTTCTTTCCAATTAACACACACAACAAAGTTTATTTTCTTCCCAATCAACTACCAAGTACTACCATTTTGCATATCAGAAACCGGAACCCTCCAACAATCATTCGAAACACTTATAGCTCTACTGATCCTTCAGAACATATTTCTAATTCATCATCGTCATAATCGAATTCATTCTGGTTTTCATCATTAGGATCGTTGTGAGCAAATTGGCAGCGAGTCCATGTCTTTTCAATAATCTCTTTCTCACTCGAAGACACTAACATAAACGCTCCGAAGCCGGGACCACAAGAAACTTCTTACCAACTACTGCCAGGTTAGGAAAACATGAAAAGTTCTGCTCCCACCATTTGTCCACAGAGCTTTCTACCGAAGGTCTTTGGCTATGAACAGCCATTCTGTACCGCGTTATTTCGTTCTATAATTAATGGAAAGTTAGCTTATAGCTTATAAATTTAGCAACTCACAATATTTTCGTTCATTCCGTGACCTTGTTGAACAAACGTATCCCAAAACGTTGTTTTTGGTTGTGGTGGTTCCATCACTTCTAAAAGAAATAGTAAAAAAATTTATGTTCGACTAACCATTTCTATCCTCCAGAAACTCCTTTCTCACCTTCGCTTAATGCTAATCCATCTATCTTTTGACATGATAGAGGTAAGGTAAGCGAAACAAGCATCGAATAATGTGGCAAGTTCAAACACTTCGTTAGACATGACATCATTGAAATATTTTTCTAGACCCTCCTCTACTTTAGTCAAGAAACTGACAAGTTCAGCTGAAGTACTAACAGATTTGAAACTAAAAATATGTGATTAACAAGTATTCAACTAGCTAAACTCACTCGTTAGCTTTGTGCCTCATAAGGCAAGCAACACTCAAAAAAACTCTCATGTTTTCATCTGACCTGATAACCTGTAAAAATCTCTTTTGATTACGTAATGACAATGAATCATACCTGTTGTGTAGCTTCATCAAAAACTCGCAGAAAATCACTAATTTTTGAAAAATATGACGTTTCGAAACTTTGAAAACAGCAGCTCTCTCATCGAACAGCAAAGAGTCGTATGCGAGTTTCTGGAAAAATAATCATATCATGTAGTGTGTATACTACTCACCATTTTTGAAAAATGCGACAACATCCGAGAGAATGAGTTCCATCGCACGGAACAATAACTGTATGGAGTATACGGTGGAATGTTCAGCTCTCTACTTTTGCTGAAAAACTTTAGATTATTTTCTAAATCATCAAATATCATAAGTAAATCATTTCTCAATCTCCCGCTTCTTTCAATTTTTTTAATAAAATACCTGAGAGAGATGGCTAGCTATAGGCTCCAGCTTCAAGGACGATTTCAAACAGAGATTCAACAAATGAGCAGAGCAATGAAAGCTTAAAAGAAGAATAGTCAAACTGCACATCTTCTAAGTTGAAGATTACTTTTTTTTCACCAACAAAGATCAAGATCTTATCATATTTGATGCTCCATCACATACAAAGAACTCGACAACGGGCATGCACGCTAGAGGTATCACTCTTTGAAAACATGCTTCTATTCTCAAGCTTGTTCGGCTAGATATCGAAAAATGATGAGTGAAAAGAAAAACGCCCACCTTCCTTCGAGACTCACAACGTCCAAGATATGTTTTTTACGAATCCACGAATTTGGTTCGTAGAAATGAGCCGTTATACCCAAAACGAACAAAGCTAAACAAATATGTTTTCGACAACCAAAACAAACTTACTTGCATTTTGAGAGGTCCTTACGTCCGCGGTGAACGAAAGATGAGTTGCTTTTTCAAGCATTTCAATATTAGAAATAGAAACTTCTGAAACGAATTTTTTGGGTGTATCCTATAAAATATATAATACCTTCAGTTTTCTCGAGGATTCTCTTGGTGATAGTTCTTCTACTGGGAGGGCTGTAACCAAGCAAACGACAAAGTTTCTTTAGGTGTTCATTTTCTACAGCTCTCACCGAAACATAAGAGGTGGAAAAGAAAATCACCAGTTGCTCGTTCAGAGTTTTCTTTTAACTAGATGAAACATTTTTAGTGAGGTAACTCTCTATTCCATAAGAAGAACTCGAGGCAATGGAAGAATCATCATTTTTTGAGAGACTTTCATTATGATTTTCGCGCACATGTTGTATCAATACTGTAGTTGAATCTATGTATTTGTATGTAGTATTACATTTTTTTCAAGTATCATAACAATCGCCCAAAATTGTTTCTTCATCGAAGAAACGCCAGCATTTGGAACCGGTCTTCATTTTTTTAGGGGAGCTAGTACAATTTTGAAATTTAGCTTACAACGTACGAATCAATATTAACTACTAGATTCAAAAATCTCCCTCGTATCAAAAAGGTACGGAGCGAAAGGTACGCATGCATTTTGAGTCAATTAAAATGGGAGTCGATTAAAATGTAATTAATTAATCAATATAAATACCCGCCAGACATTCTGTCCAGGCCGCCTTTTGACTATGCTATGACCATGTCCTTACTCTTTCTCTCTGAATCTCATTCTTCTTTACCTCATTTTAATGATTCATGAATCTGTGGCATATGGAAACGTTTGGATTACATTATATGTCATTAACAATTCATTGTTTCTCTATCACACCTTGTTTGTTTATTGTAATCACTTGTATCAGAAATAAACTCTTTTCTTCTTAGAACAATCTTGATTCCTTCCGCTAGAACTTAGATCGATATAAGATAGTAAAGTAGCTCTAAACACCCAAATTTACAAGGATGGAACGTGGAGGTTCCACCGGAATGTTTTCTAGTTTGCTAGGAATCATCTCTATTTTGATAAAATATTTTGGAAACTATTTTAAATATTCTTTACACAGATTTTGAATGTTTCATACATCTCTTCAAAGTTTATATATAATTCATTGTTGATATCATTTCTCATTTTATTCTATTGTCTCAAGATATCATAATCATTCTCTTTTTTCTCATTTTTCTTAAAAATTTCAATTTTACATCATTATCCAATCGTTTCTTTTATATCTATCATTATTCTTATCTGCTCCATGGTTCATTAAGCAATATTATTATTCCGTTTCAAGCTATTTCATTTTATGTCGTTTTATAAAGACCCTGTAAGCCCCAAAAAGAGATACCACTTATAAGAGAGAATCTGGCAGGTTGAGTCCTAGTCAGGCCCGCGAATGAGAGTAACAGTCCAAGCATCCGGAAGCCGCATTATTTTGTTAGCGCACCCTCTCCCTTGGAAGTAATCGCGGCCGCGTTTTGATGATGATCCCAGAGAGGACTACCATTCTTCCCACCTTTTTGAAATTTATTGTCCCGAGGCATGGTGAGAACTTCCGCCCGTCGTATCTAAGGACCGCTATACTCTGAAGGAAGACAGACTATACCCGGAACGACTTGGTAAAAGTTGCTCGAGGAACATTTGATGGTAGGACCCCGAAAAATCCCTATATTGATGGTGGAAGTTGACTACAAATGCCCGAAGTACTGAGGAAAAGGCCCGCTGTTACCTGTCGCGTTATATATATTTATTTCGCTCTTAGAGCATTTTGTTAGACCGAAATTATATCTTCAGGATGGCTCCAAGTAACAAAATTGTGCCCACACCCAAGGCAGGTCTGTGAAAAAGACGCGGATCATCGGTTACCCCAGAGGTATCGACAAAGTCCCGGTATAGAAGAGTACTAATCAAACCGAGATCTTTTTCCGAAGTTAAACTCTCGCGAGCTAAGCAAATAATAACAAGACGAGACGAATTACGTCCCGTAACCAAAAAGAAAAAAAAATATTCCACCCATCACGGAAGTTGATTCTTCCGATGAAGGCCCCAATCTAAGATGAGATTTCCAACAACGATCCTCACTCCATCTGAAGCAGGAACGTCAATCTTCTTTACTAATGTCTCGGATCATGACATCAATATCAATACTCATCAAGCAATAGGTACAGCAGAAGTTACTAAAGACTATTCAGAACTCGCTCCTGACACTCCATTCGATTCCTACTGTCTACCCGAAGCCAACTGGGAAGACAGACTGCCTTATTGAATAGAAGTATAGAAGGAGTATATAGAAGAAAGAAAAGTGCTAACAGAATAGCGTATGTGATGCTTTATCCCGATATTTTGAAGACCAGACAAACGAAGCAAAACCAACGACAAAAGAAGCAAGGCTGAAGAAAAAGCAAAAAGTGGAGCTGATAAAAGAAACGGGCAGAGTAACCATCTTCAAATGATAGATAGTTGCGAAATTAATAAATTTTTTAGTTTTTTATTCATTTCTTTAGTTTGTTGAACAATATCACCTCGAACACAAAAGTTAATTATTCCCCCACTCGCAACTAACTCGGAACGTCTACGCTGGGTTGACGAATTTTTAAACCCTTCGAAGGACTGTTCAAAATTGGATGTCAAACTAAAAAAAAGTAGATGTTTTGATACAAGTAAAGTTAAACTCCCACCAAGTTTAAAAAACTACTGTTAGTTTTTGAAAATTTGTTTCTTTGCAATAATTATAAAGTTTATTTTCAGTCAACGAAGGTATACACCTTTCGCCGCTTAAACGTGGAAATCTGCAGAGGGTTCACAACCAAAAAATTGTTTGCTTATATTGGCGTCACAACAAATGGATATTTGGTTGTTTAGAGAATTTTACAACTACCTTCCCATGCGAGTCTCATGTCCTGTAATTGTAATGTTGAATACCTATAAAAATGTCCGAAAATAATTACCGAGCCGGCATCAGCAAGGACTGCAGGACACTTATCGCATTCCGGGAAACTGAAAAAATATTATTGAAAAGAAATGATTGGGCAAGTCATTCTTTGTGGGCTAATTACTTGCAGAACCTGACCTCTTCGCACACCTTCTTTATCTCCAACTGAAATGTATTGATTTTAAAATTAATTTAAGAGTTTATAACAAGTAGGAAATACCTTTCCACGAAACATTTTGCCAACGGCGCCCGCGATTTCCACGATGTAGAGAAATTCGGAACGGCAGCTTTCAGGTGCACCAACGCACAGTATATCAGCAGCTGATTTGTTCAGCTTGTCAATCGGGTCTTTGAGGTGCAACATCAATAGGAGCCGGAGGAGCATCAACAGGAGCCGGAGTAGCATCAGTCGAAACGTCATTAACAGGAGCCACCACATGAGGGCAAACTGTAGTGAAGGGGTTGGAAGCGTTACCATCCATTTCTTCGGTGAT